GCTCAACACATCCACTCTTTGCAACCTGAATAGTCTTATGCCTACCATTTCTTTAGCATCCTATGACAAGCCAGCATTCCTGGTACTTGTTGACTCTGGCTCTACACACTGTTTTATAGATACAAAGTTTGCAAATAAAGTCTCTGTTCTGCCAGTCCAGCTTTGGCTGTTCAACAGCACATCCAACTTGGTCATCACCCAGGCAGCAGACCTTGTCTTCATTTTCCCCTCTGGCAATGCAACCCCAGTCACCCTCTATGCAACCCCACTGGACTCTGAATGCAAGGCAGTCCTTAGGATACAACTGGCTCACCCAACACAATCCATCAATTGACTGGGTCTTGAGCAGTATTAGATTCCAGACACCTGCACAACAAGTGCCAGACCCCCCAACATCACCCCCTGACCCCAAGCCTATGGCTCCTGGACCAACCATCTTTGGCTCTAATGAGCATCTGACCCCACAATCAGAGGATCTGGCACCCCACTGAGAACATGATCTTAAGATTGAGCTGGAAGGAGATGCATCACTGGCCCTCAGCCCTATCTACTCCCTGTTGCTGGTAGAGCTTGAAGCTCTCCAGGCCTTCCTAGATGAGCATCTGGCTACTGGGCTCATCTGACTGACCTCTTCCCCCCATGGAGTGCTGGTCCTCTTTGTCAAGAAGAAGGACAGCTCCCTTTGGCTTTGTGTTGACTTCTGGGGCTTGAACAAGATCACCAAAAAGGACCAATACCCACTCCCCCTCATCACCAACCTTCTGGACTCACCATCCTGGGCCAAGGTTTATACCAAAATCAACCTCAGGCATGTGTATCACCTAGTCCAGATCACCAATGGTGATGAATGGAAAACCACATTCCACACTTGGTATGGGTCCTTTGAATGGCTTGTCATGCCTTTCTGTCTGTCCAATGCCCTGGCAGCACTCCAATGCTTCATCAACACAGTGTTTTCCAACCTCCTAGACATATGTGTTGTGGTCTACCTGGACAACATACTCATCTACTCCAATGATGAGAACTCACACCAGCAGCATGTTAAAGAGGTTCTGTGCCAACTCTGGAAACATGGCCTGTATGCCAAACTGGAAAAATGTGAGTTCCACTCCAAGTCAGTAGAGTACCTAGGCTACTGTCTTTTGTGAACTGGCCTCACCATGTCTGGTGAAAAGATCAAGGCTGTCTGCAACTGGCCCAAGCCCCAGAAGGTCAAGGACATCCAATCCTTCCTAGGCTTTGCCAACTTCTACCAACATTTCATCTACAACTACTCAGACATCATTGTCCCCTTGACCTGCCTTACACAAAAAAACATACCCTGGAACTTCTCTGAGGAGTGCCAATCAGCCTTCAATAAGCTCAAAGAAGCTTTCACCACCACTCCTATCCTTACTCACTTCATTCCCAGTGCTCTACTCACAGTGGAAACCAATGCCTCAGACTATGCCATCACTGGTGTACTGTCCATTACCACTGAAGACAACCAACTTTGCCTGGTGGCCTTTTACTCCTGGATGCTGTCTGCACTGGAACTCAACTATGACACCCATGATAAGGAGTTGCTTGCTATCTTTGAGGCCTTCAAGGCCTGGAGACACTACTTGGAGGGTGCCCCTCTACCCATTGATGTGGTCACTGACCACAAGAACCTAGAATACTTCTCAACCTTTAAGGTACTCACACACTGGCAAGCCCAGTGGTCCAAGTACCTATCACAGTTCAACCTTGTCATCTGTTTCCACCTGGGTAAGCTCAGTGCTAAGCCCAATGCTCTCACTAGATGGTGGGATGTCTACCCCAAAGAGGGGGATAGGGGCTATGCCCAGGCAAACCCCCACAACCTCTTACCAGTGTTCACACAAGGACAGCTAGTCTTGGCTCTCTACACCACATGCTTGGAATACCCCATACTACATGCCAGCCTTCTAATGGACATAGAACAACTCCACAAAGAAATACTTGCTGTGCTACCCTTGGACCACTGTCCCAACACTGACTCAGACACCTCCAACCCTCAGTGGTTGGTCAATAGCACTGGCCTGCTGTGCCTCGATAACCAGATCTATGTACCAGATGCCAATGACCTTCAGCTCAAGGTCCTTCAGTGCAAGCATGATCACCTGCTGTCAGGACACTTCAGCCAAAATCAGACATTGGAACTGATCTGGAAAGAGTATACCTGGCCTGGCATCCACACCTTCATCAAAGAGTATGTGAGGTCTTGCACTACATGCACAAGAGCCAAAATACCCAGACACTGTCCATATGGCACCCTGAAACAACTGCTGATACCAGAAAAGCTGTGGAATTCCATCTCCATGGATTTCATTGAGCATCTACCAGCATCCAGTGGTCACACTGCTATCCTGGTGGTCAAGGACTGGCTATCCAAGCAGGCTATATTCATACCCACCTATGACACCATTACCTCCCCTGAGCTTGCTAAGCTCTTCCTACTCCACATCTTCTCAAAGCATGGTGTCCCAGCACATGCAACCTCTGACTGAGGCTCTGAGTTTGTCTCACATTTCTTCTGGTCCTTGGGTAAAGTGCTGGATATGTGCCTACACTTCACTTCTGGATACCACCTGGAAGGAGATGGCCAGACCAAATGAGCAAACCAGACCTTGGAACAGTACCTCTGGGTATATTACAACTACCAGCAGGACAACTGGGCTGAGTTACTCCTGTTGGCTGAGTTTGCCTACAACAATGCCCCAAGTGCTACCACTGGTGTTTCCCCTTTCTTCATCAACAAGGGTTACCACCCTAACCTCTCAGTCTTCCCTGAGAGGGACTTATCCTTGGCATGGGCTAGGGACTATGCTGTGGACCTAGATGAGCTACATCAGTTCCTATGAGAAGAGATGGCACTAGCCCAAGCTAGATACCAAGGTCCAGCAGATGCAAAAAGGCTACTGGTGCCTGAGATCAACCTCAGTGACCAGATCTATGTCAAAGCCAAGTACTTCTTGACCACAAGACCATCACAGAAACTCACAGACAAGAACCTAGGCCCTTACTCAGTAATAGCCCAGCCCAGCACCCACTCATTCACCCTTCACCTCCCAGACTCCATGCATGCAGTACACCTGGTGTTCCACATGTCACAGTTAGAACTGGCACACCCCAACACTATCCTGAACTGAACTCAGCCACCACCACCTCCAGTCAAGGTGGATGGTGAACCAGAGTACAAGATGGCCAAGATCCTCGACTCAAAGGTAGACTGATGACAGAGGTGTAAGCTACAGTACCTGGTATGCTGGGCTGGCTACAAGGGCACTGACAAAGAAACATCCTGGCTACTGGCCACTGAGCTGGGCAATGCTGAAGATCTACTCGCTGCTTTCCATGCAAGTTACCCTGGTAAACCCAGTCCAGTCACTGGTTAAAACATACCTTTCTCCTCTTTCTCCCTTGTTTCCTTACTCTTGTTTTTCCCTTACTATACCAAGAATGGTTCAATACACTGATACTATGTACATACACATCAGTGTTCAGTCCTAACTAGCTTTCACTCGGAATCCCCCTCAAACACCTCCCCATCACTTGCCTAGAGCTCCCTCTCCTCCCTGCTCTCCAACCTGGACCACTGACCCTTCATGTGCACATCCTCAGGCTGGCACATGACCCTCTCATCCAACTCCAACCCTGCTCCTTCATGATCTGACTGGAGGCTCTCAAGCTCCAGGTCTGCAATGTCTGAGTGCAGCTCTTTACTGGATTTGGATGCCAGGGGGGTTGGGCAAAGAGTGAACTTGAACTCACCCAGCAGGTCACTCAGCTGACTGTTGAATTGGCACTGGGTCTCCCTCCTGGCTTGCATCTCTGTGGTCTGACAGTCCATGGCAGCCATGATCAGCTTGAAACCCCTGGTCACTGCCACAACTGGAGGGTCAGAAGAGATGGTAGTGGGTGCTACCACTCCTGAGGGGCCGGCCTCTGACTCACCAGGCACCCCAGACCTGGTTCAGATAACCTTCTTCTTCTCCCCAGCCCTTGGCAATGTAGCATCCTCCAGCACTTGCTTCTTCCCAGACTTTGCTGCAACCTCCTTGACCTCAGGCTCCACCCCCTCAGACAGCTTGCACCTGACCTTCATCTCAGTGCACCAGTCACACATCCTCTTCTTGTGCTCACTCTGTTGCGCATGATTGAAGGTGCACAGCACCCACCCCTTTTTGCACTGCTTGCATGACCTGGCACCTGCAGCACCAGTGCATGACACAACTTCTGGGAAGCATGCAACTAGAGGAAGGCTGAAGGGAGAATTTCCTAGGATTGTCCCAAGGGGCACTGTGTGGAAGGAGAAGTCAAGGGTTACCATAGAAGGGGTGGGGAATATGTGTGAGGGTCGAAGAATTTAATTCTGGAGGGTTGTGGATGTGCAAGGATAGTGAGATGGGTATATGAAATTCTGAGAAGCTGAATTATGGCAAGAAGAGTGTATTTGAGATGAGGGGGATATGGAATAAGGTGTGCAGGATTGGAAGATGCAAGAGACACAAGGATCACTGGAGACACTGTAGACACTGTAGACTCAATATATGCACTTAGACTCTGAGAACTTCTTGAACTCGCAGAACACACACAGATAGCAACTCTAAAGGTGGGTGCTTTATTTCTGACATTATGGCAGAATTATATAGTACAAGGGAAGTAGGTACAAGTTGGAGTAAGGTGGGACAGAAAAACAAAAAAACCCAGAAAATAAAGGAAAGGATGACAGATGTCAGCAAATTACAGATGTATGTGATTTAGGCATCTGGCATGAATGAGTGATGGCATGGTAAGGCAGTGGTGCAGCTAGTGAACTCTGGATGACTCTGGGTGAATGCAGAATTTCCAGATCAGCTTTATTGATGACTGGGCAACATGCTGAAGGTTGGGAGACACTCTGAAGGTGACAGGGGTTGGGAGAAAACACAAGGTCATAAGCAGGAAAAATCCTGAAACAGGTCTGTTGCAGAGGCTTGCAGAATTTAGTGACCAATTCATGTTCCAGCCTCAGGGAGTATATGACTCCCTACACTGGGGCCCTTTTCCCACACCTTGCCCTTTGACTCCCCTGTTTTCAGCTGCGCCTGGGCCTCCCATTCCTGGCATTTGCTCTCCAGACACTCCTGCTCCCACCTTTCAGCCCCCAACTGCTCCTGCTCCCACCTCTCAGCCTCCACCCACTCCCTCTCGTGCTGCTCAGCCTCTGCTCGCTCCTTTTCACATTGCTCTGCTTCCAGACACTCCCTCTTGAGCCTCTCTGCCTCCAGCTGAGCAGCCTCTTCCCTCAATGCCTTGTGCCATTTGCACTTGGCCATCTTCACCCACCCAGATGTCAGCCTCCTCATCATCACTGGTGATCTGGAGCTCAGGCATGGTGGCCTTCTGAAAGCCAGATGGGTTTTTGGGTGTGTGTGGGGGAGCCTGACAAGTGGAAGACATGATGTTGGGATACAGAGAAAACAAGACTTTGCAAAGATGCACCTTTTTTTAACCCCAGGGAACATGTGTTCTATCAGCATGGCAACTGCTGACCTCATGTACCTTAGGGCAGGTCTCAAGGGCTTGACCCTAAGGGGGGGATACTGTCATATACTGAGAAACCAATGGCTTGGTCTTAGGTCCTGAATGCCAGGTCAATACTGAACACTGAAATGAATTCTCTTCCTCACTATACCTTTCCAGTTATCCTTTGTACTGCCCTTGCTTGTGCCAAGGCAGTGGCTGTCTTCAGCTCTCCAACCCCTGCCTGCTTGCTTGACTTTTAGTTAGTTCCTTGCACCACTATTTAGTCCCTCACTGGTAACCCCAGCCTTTGGGTTGCCAGTCTTTGGTATATATACTCTATGCATGTTGTACTTAGTGGCTCAGTCTGAATATCAATCTAGTTCACCCCTCAGCTCCTAGCTTAAGCTTGAGACAGCTCTTGGCTTTTGCTCCTGAACCCCCTCAGCTCTCTCCGACTTCAACCTGGCTTGCACAAGGGTCTAGCACACAAGCTAAGACCAAGGGTTGTTGCACCCAGCACTTGGCCTTTGGCCTTCAACCCCCAACCTAGTCATGAACTTAACAGAATGAGATTATCCTTCACAATTCTGTTGGCTGTCTAGCCATTGTCTTTTTCTCACTCTAAGTAAATGTTGAGTGTATCGTGTGGCTGCAGTGGTCAATTAAAATGTGAAATATAAAAAGACATTGTATATACCACAGAGGAGTAAAATTATAGATGGCCTCATTCACCCTGCTGTCCTATCCACCCTTGTCTCATCTGCCAGAGGCCCAAAGAGATCAATGAGGTCATCACCCAATGCTTGTCCATATACCTGAATACAAAGAGCCTCCAGCTTGCAAGCCATCCTGTCCAACATCTGCATGGTTTCATCCTGTTGTATTTGGAGATCATACATTCAATCTTCATAGTATTGGTGGTGGGCCTCAGCATTGCAGAGTCAATGTTCCAAATCTTTGATTCACTGTTCAATTGTGTTGGATGTTTGCAACACCTCAGCAATTGGGGCACAGATGAGTGACAGTGTGCTGGGAGTTGCAGTGGTTATGAGTTGGACAGGTGCTGTCAATGGGAAGGTGTCTGCTTTGAATACAAGAGTTAATGACAATACTTAGCATAAATGTGTAGTGATTAAATGTACCTGCTGCCATAGATTCCTCTACCTCTTGCACAATGGATGGGCCAACCTCGATGATTTAATCTGCTTGTACAGTGGCTGGGATTGGGTGGGAATCCCTGTGTTTGAATGCAGGAATATGAATATCTGAATAAAATTTGAGTCAGCAGTAAATACATGAAATTGAGAACATACTGAGTGAAGATCCCTTGGGGATTGTCTTTCCCTGGTTGGAGGGCCCAACCCCAGCATTGATGGCTTTGGAAGCCATCGAAATGTGTCACTTTGGGGGATGTGATGTTCCTTTGGGCTTTGGGATTCTTGGGCCTCCATCATCAGGGACAGACTTTGAGCTTGCTTTTTTCCCCTGGCTTGCGATGCATTCCATCAAGTTGGAGTGGTAATGCCACCTTTGGAATGGCTGCATCAAATCTTGCGACCATTGCATGGGAAGCAGGACTTCCCAGGGTTCTTGTAGCATCAGACCTTGTGTCTGCAGCACAACTCACTGGAATGGGGGTCAGGGGAAGGTGTCCTTCTGGCAGCTATGGCAGCATGACTGTATAGTCCATCCAGTGGTGGATGAGGCTTGCATTTCAATTGGCCTTGAGTGGGAATGTCATCTTCATCATCAGTTTCCACTGTTGCCTTCCTAGAGTGGGATTGACATCTGGATTGATGAGATGTTGTTTTCATGGCAGCTTGGCACTTCTGCTGGTTCTTCCTCATCATTCTCCTTTTCTGGCACCTCATCTTCACCCTCATTGTCCACCTCCATCCTGTGTGAGCTCTCCACTATCATTTGCTCCACCTCCACCTCAGTTGCTTTCCATTTTCCTTTGTCACTTGTAGGCATTTTGGTCTCTTGAGCAGGTGGTGTTGGTGTTGGCACCACACAGGGCATAGGGAGGCCCAACTGGTGGTAGTCATATCAATGCTTGATGACATCAAGCCACTTGTGGTTGGCAATGTCAGTTTTGGAAGGGGATAGGGCAGTCTTCCACTCAGGCCATGGGTGGTCAATTGAGCCAAGGTCTTCATGCCACTTTAAAAATGTGTTAATGCCAACAAGGGTCATCAGAATCTCATCTGTCCTAGTGATGAGGTCACATACAGTGTCCTGAATACATTAGTTAGTGAAAAAGTGTGATGATGCTATGACACACTAGTTCATCATTCATCACCTTGATGGCACCTCTCCACTTCACAATCTTGTCTGCCTTTCCCAGCTTGCTGCTTTCTGTGATATCCTTGAAGTAAATTTGAAGTATGCAGTTGGTCACAGCATCAGGCTCAGGTGATTTCTTGAAGAGCTTGCAAGACAACAACAACAACATGTTTCTGATGATGAGATGATGGAGTAATTTGATGGTGAGAGCAGTGATGGTGATTGGAGAGTGGAAGAGTCAGAGGTTAAAGATGGACAATGAGATATGCAGATGTCACATTTTTTATCTCACCTATGAATGATTCCCATGGCATGATGGCAATACTGGTACAAGTCCATAATCCTGAATGCATATATGAAGCAGAGACTCAGATAAAAATATTATGCATTGTTCTGGAATAGCATTGCCATTTGTTTTGTGTTTCCCATCTGCTCCAATGGCAGAGTCCTGGCTTGTGGCTACATAGACCAGTGCCTGAGATTCCAACTGAATAGGCAAATTGTCCAACATGAAATACAATTTATAGTGGGAAATTCAGATACTTTATAGTGCAAGAGGTTCCACTTTCTTCATTTCTTGTCTTCCTGGGCCTGTCTTATATTGTGACAGGGGGATAACCCAATATGGATAGGCCCATCCATTTGTGGTGAGCTATCTATGATATGACAGATTGGCCTGCCTTATGTGGTGCCAAGGGTTTGTAATCCTGTGATGGACAGATTGGCCCATCTTATGTTGTAACACTGGTTTTTGTTTTCCCTTATCTGCTGCCTGAGAATGCCATGGATGGGCCTGTCCTTATGTAGTTCCCTTTGATCTCCCTTTCTGCTGCCTGAGAATGCCTTACATGGGCCATCCTTATGTGGATAGCTTGGATCTCCCTTTCTGCTGCCTAAGAATACCATACATGGACTTGTCCTTATGTTGTGACAGGGGTGCATCTTGCTAGATAGGCCCATCCATTTGTTGTGATGATATACATGATACTACTGAAGGGCCTGTCCTTATGTTGTGACACTATTGGATGATATTACTAATGGGCCCACCCATATGTTGTGACAATATAAAATTACTACTGAAGGGCCTGTCCATATATTTTGACAGCAGTACATCTTACCATTGACAGGCTGGTCCATATGTTGTGACATTATGAAATGACATTACTGATGGGCCTGTCTTTATGTTGCAACAGCAGTATGGCTTATTATGAATGGGCCTGTCTATATGTTGCAACACCATAAATGATATTACTCCTGGGCCCATCCATATGTTGCCAACTTTGTATTCTAATCATAGACAGGCCCATCCTTATGTTGTGACCCTCTCCATGTTATGATAGGCAGGCCTGCCTTGATGTTGTGACAGGGGTGTAACCTACCAGGACAGGCCTGTCCATGTCTTACAGCAGTTCAGTATACTTAATTGGTCATGGGCCCATCTAAATGTTTCAACATCCTTACCCACCACAGGCCCTCCCATATGTTGCTCTCACTTTAGTCCCTCAGGCCTGTCCATGTGTACTGGCTAATCTATTTAGGTGGGCCCATCTCAGGGTCTACATAAGTGTTGGTGTTTTGGTGCACAGGCTGCCCATGTGTTGTGACTAAGTGTGACTACACTATGTGGAGGCCTTGGTGTGCATGTTGGCAGAGAAACTGCATTGCAACATTAATGCAAGAGCAGAGTCAACAGAGGAAAAATGCATGCTAGCCTTGTTCCAAGAACTTAGTGTCATCTGTCAAATGTTGCCAGGTAGTGATGGTTACAAACTCTGCTGTTGCAATGAGATCTGATCATTGATATGCAAATTGGGGACACCTGCATTCTTTATCACATTAAACCCACATGACCTAACCAACATCCTGGTAGGGCATTTCAGAGGTATTGATGAGCACCAATGGCATTCAATGGCTTCATATGAATGAGTGGTTTTTGTAGTGTCACACCCCACTGCAGCCACAAAAGTGTTCAATGTTCTTGTGACAGCTTTTCTGCATGTTGTTGTGAAGATTAACAACAGGTCTGGCTTGTTCAGAAATTGTAAAGGTTATTATGCAATGGTTGAAGCACAGGGAAGAGGAATGTTGCACATGCACATGTTGCTGTGGGTGGAAGGGCATCCAAATCCCAACGAGCTCCAGAAATTGATGGTACACAGCAAGTCTTTCCAAAATGAGGTGATAATGTGGTTGGAAGATCTAATAAAATGTGAACTGCTTGGTGACTTGCTTACAGATGATACTCAGCATTTGAATCAATTACAAAAGCCACAGTGCAGAACAGAGGAATATGACCCCCAATTAGAGCAGGTGCCCCAGTTGAGTGATCATGATGCAAATACCTTTGCCAATGCATTCCAACTATTTGTGCATAGATTAGCCATCAAATGTAACTGGCATGAACACACACTGACATGTTTTAAACATCTTCAAGCAGGTGGGCAACTGGGGGATGGTAATTGTCACATGCAAATCAATGGTTCTGTATGCACTATGTCTAGTCTTGATGATGATACAAAGGCCATTTTGCTGAGACATGGTCATCCTTGCATCAATAACTATAATGATATTGTAATATATTTAATGCAATGTAACATGGACATCAAGTTTGTTGGCTCAGGTGTGGATGCAAAGGCATTGACATACTACATTAGTGACTACATTACAAAGAATGATCTTCAGGTACATGTTGGCTTACAAGCCATTCAAGCAGTGATGGAAAGTCATGTGAAGAGGTTCATGAACAATGTTGATGCATCTGTAGCTGTGCACAAAAAAAACCTTCTGATGAAGATGATAAACACCATGATGGGCAAGCACAAGATATCTCATCAACAAGTAATGAGCCATCTGGTGTGGGGAGGGGATTATTATACAAGCCATCAATTCCACACCATTTGCTTTCACAATTTCATAGATATTGCTCATGCACATGAGCAACATGTTGATGGTTTCTGTATTTGCCCTGATCATGGTCTTCCTGACTGTCCTGATAACTTATATGGAGAAACATGCTTGGCTTTTACAAGCCCTGGCTCCATATCAGTGGTCTCGGATACCATTGATTACTTGATGTGACCTGTGCAAGAGCCATTCAATCAAATGTGTTTATGGGAATTCTTTGAGTGAACATTAAACGTCAGAAAAACTGGTAAAGGGTCAGACATGAACATAGATGATGATGATGATGGGCAGCTGCATAATACTGAACATGCACCATATACACAAAGATGGAGAGCACTGTTCACAAACAGAACCCACCCACAGTTTGTGTCTCATGATATTTGCTTGCAAAACAAATTTGTTGTACCTGTTCTTATAGGCAATTTGATACCATTGCCCCACAAATCAGATATCAATATGGAGCAGTTTAGTCATGTGATGTTGTTGCTCTTTTTAGACCCTGGCAAAAACCATCTGAGCTGCTCAATGATTTCTCATGTTGGACTGAAACCTTTGATGCATACCATTTTAGCAACAGCTTGTCCCAAGTAATATCCAACCTCCTGATAGAAATGGAGTGCAAGGATTCAAGAGATGGTCAAAGAGCAAGATACAAAGTGTGAGGACCAGATCTAATGGTTGGTCAATTTGTACCAATGGTGTCTGATGACATTGATATAGATCATCTTCATGATGCTCTGCTGCATGATCGTGAGTTAGATCAGGCATTGGACAATGAGATGGAGAACTTACATCCATTGGATGTGGATGACACTTTGACAAACTGCATTCTGGAAGACAAGCTAGAAATTATGTGCATGATTTGCACATTCCAATCTTTGGGTTCAACAGTGGTTCAATGCAATTTTGACAATTCCCATGTCTTCAAGGCTACTGCTGAGATGGAAGAAGTCATGACTGTTCACAACAATTACATGTCCATGCAGTGTAAAAGAAAACAACTGGATAAGGTATCTAGCATTGAAAGTAGATTTGTGCATAGAACTGGCCCCCTGCCAAAACAATGTTGATGCACATTAATTATATTTCTTACACTGGTAATATCTTACATAAGCACAGTCATTTTGGCACATTGTTTTTCCTTCATGCACCTCAGTCTTCTCCCAATAGAAGCCTGAGGTGAGGTTCCTTTATTATGAGTTACAGCTATCTTACTGAAGCTATTTAGTATCTTCTCTTGTTAGTCTGTCACTACTCAGAAACACCCCTTCAGAAGGTTATGAGCCCTGCTCAGCTCTAACCACTGCAGTTTTAATTCCAGTCACTCTCTAGTTCTACAAGGTCATGCTAAACAATGTCAAATCCAACTCCATCTATCTTGGTTGGTCCTCAGACAGGTCCTTCTACTGCTACAGTCACTACTCTGTCATCATCTAGCAAGGTTGCTGCTCCCTCAAGTTGGCTCTACAATATTCCATCACTTGCAGATGATGGAGGAAGCTTTCAAATGTGGAAGTTTCATGTACAGAAGGTTCTCAAGATTTGAGGCCTGTGGGAGGTGGTTGGTGGCTCAGCCATGAAGGCTCCTGATGCTGCCACTCACCCAGATGAGCATGTGGAGTGGATGATGAAAGATAGGGAAGCCAGTGCACAGATTACCCTGACACTCAAGGACAAGCCTCTGAGTGGGGTCATGTATGTGAAAACTGCATCAGAGACCTGGAAGCACCTTAGTAAATGGTACAAGGGCAAAGGGAAACAGACAATTGCCTACCTCATTGGAGAACTTTTTCATGGAACCCTTGTTGATGATAGCCCAATGGAGACTCAGCTAAATGCAATGCAACAGAAGGTGCTCATACTGAACTCACTTGGACAGACTCTCAATGAGTCACTGGTTTCAATTGCAATGGTGATCTCCTTACCTGCTTCACACTTGGTCCTTTGAACCATTCTCATGTCAACAAATGACAAGTTGACTGTGGACTCTGTAATCTCACAAGTCCTCATAGAGGAGAGGATGTGCCAGGTCTTGCAGGGTCACTCAGTCCTCACAGCCAGAACTGGTGTGAAGTCAAAGTCTAAAGGGAAAGGGAAGGAAAAGTCAAAGATAAAGTGCTACAACTTCCCAAGCCTGAAAAAGAAGGCAGATGATGAGAAGACTCCATCCTCATTGGAGAAGAAAGAGAAGGGAGCAGACTAGGCCAATCTCACAGTGAAGATTGCCCAGGTAGTTGAGGATCCAGCTCTTCAGCTGTTCATGGCACATGCAGGTCCAGAAACCAGCCCCTTGGAGTGGGTGGTAGACTCAGGTGCATCAGCACATATGTGCTGCCAGCAGTGGTGGTTCACCACATTTAGGGTCTTGGAACCATCACAACCAGTCATTATCAGTGATGGGAGATCCATCATGGCAGTAGCAAAGGGCCAGATTGAACTCAACATGCAGGTGTCACCCATGTTCATGTTCCAGAGGAAAAACATCAGAAACTTGATGTAAAATCACTTGAATGTACTCACCTTGGGTTCATGGAAAATTGCAAGGCCTATGTGTGCCTGCACTGAGCAAGCAGTTGAATCATCAAGTCTTGGGATGTTGTGTTTGATGAGGGTGACAGTGAACAGCCTACTCATGTCACATTTGGTTGGAGTGAGCTGGTAATAAAGTAAATGGTGCAGTCAGTCACAAATGTGCAGATGACTGGTGGGCAAGTGCAACTACCACACAGGAGGACAAGGGAGGCTCAGACAAGGTGGGGGAAGTGACAGATCAACCCCAAGTTGAGTCTACAGGTCCAGCATGGCAGTCCAATGCCACAGGGAGCCAGGGAGGTGCTTCGATGGGTCACAATCAAGGACAATCAATGCTCAGGCCAACAGAGGCTGAAAATGAGCCAAGTCAGGCAGATGAGCAAAGTTCTGGGGTAGAAATGCCTAGAACTCACCCAGAAATCTTCCAGAGGGCGAATCAAATGATGGAAAGACATCCTATGATGTCCAGAGGTCCTTCAGTGCCATATCCACAGCCAGTACCACCTGCTGAGGTCAGGAGATCCTCTAGGGCCAGAAAGGCTCCAGTTTGAGATGACAACCCAAGATATTTTATCAATGCTTACCAGAGGTCGATGTTGATGAGGGAAAAGGGCCAGGGGAATGCTGAGAGAGATGACAGAAGGGCAGAGGTTCATGGTGGGGGTGTGGCTGAGTGTGAAGTTGAGGTGCAGCAGTCAGGCAAAAGTGCTGACTCAAATCAACAAGACCACACAGCTTACCAAGCAAGTTCTGCATGTGACAATGAGCCTACAATGTTCAAGGATGCTGTAAATCACCCTGATGGCAATTGTTGGTATGCAGCAATGGTAGACAAGCTGAATATGTTTCAGAAGCTCAGGCTGTATGAGGAGGTTGAATGGCCCTCAGATCAAAAGATCATCAATTCAAAATGGGTATACAAAGTAAAGTGAGGACTGATGGGTGACATTGAGAAGTACAAGGTGCATCTCATTGCTAGGGGGTTCACTCAAGTTCATGGAGTGGACTATACTGATACATTTGCCCCTGTTGCAAAGTTTACTACTATTTGAATCTTGCTCACTCTCACAGCCAAGTATGACCTCAAGTTACACCAAATGAATGTCAAGTCAGCCTTCCTGAATGGAAAACTGGACGAAGAAGTCTTCCTTCAACCTCCTCCCAGGTTCCATACATCTGCAGATGTAGTTTGGCACCTTCACCATGCTCTTTATGGCCTAAAACAAGCTCTGAAGGCTTGGTATACCCACTTGAGGGAAGTTTTCGAAGCCCTTGGCTTTGTGCACAGCAATGCAGACCACAGTTTTTTCTACAAATTTGAAAGTGGAGTTCTGATTATAGTCATGGTCTATGTGGATGATAAACTCATCTTGTTGAAGAGTCATGATGCTATTGACCAGCTCAAGACTCAGCTCTCCTCAGAGTATGACCTATCAGATTTGGGCAAGGCATGATGGATCTTAGGAATGGAGATCATCCAAGACTGTGATAAAGGAGAAATCAAGCTCTCACAGGAAAGATATGTTGAGTCTATACTCCAGCACTTCAGGTTGCAGGATATGTGCCCTGTGGGTACACCTATTGAACCCAGTCTCAAACTCAAGAAACTTGATCAGGCTGAGTTGGATGTTGCATGCCATCAGAGTGCTCTCAGAGCCCTGATGTGTGCTATGTTGGGTACTTTCCCTGATCTTGCCTATGCAGTGGGTGTCCTTAGTAGGCATGCAGCAACTCCAGGTGAGCACCACTGGGTGGCCCTCAAAAGAGTCTACTGCTACCTTTGAGGGACTGCTACCTTGCATCTCTGCTATTCTGTGGCATCAGGACCCACTCCAGCTGGGTATGCTGATGCAGACTGGGTATCTGATGTAAATGATCAATGTTCTATCACTGGCTATGCTTTCATCCTATGTGGTGGTGCAGTGAGCTGGTCATTGATGAAGCAGACCTCTGTTTCTCTTTTGAGCACTGAGGCTGAGTATATGGCTGTTTTGGCAGCCACAAAAGAAACTATTTGGATCTGCACACTGCTTGGTGAAATAGACATGGCTGCATGAGCTGACCCCACACCTCTCCCTATTGACAATCAATCAGCAATTTTGTTGGTGAAAAATGCAATGTTTCATGACCATATGAAACACATTTCCATTTGCCATCACTTCATTCAAGAGAAGATCAAGTTGGGGGACATCTCCATGGTGTGCTTGCCTACAAATGAGCAGCTGGCAGACATCTTAACCAAAGGACTCTCTAGAGATAAGCACACTCATTTTTCTATTGGCTTAGGGTGTTACTTATTGAGATATTCACCATAGAATGGGCATGTTGATGCACATTAATTATATTTCTTACACTGGTAATATCTTACATAAGCACAGTCATTTTGGCACATTTTTTTTCCTTCATGCACCTCAGTCTTCTCCCAATAGAAGCCTGAGGTGAGGTTCCTTTATTATGAGTTACAGCTATCTTACTGAAGCTATTTAGTATCTTCTCTTGTTAGTCTGTCACTACTCAGAAACACCCCTTCAGAAAACAACCTCACATGGAAGCACATGTTTCTGTTGAAGAAATTCTACAGAATAGTAGCAACAATAATACACAACAGTCAAGGCCTGTGTTGGATAATGTTTCCCACAAAG